TCGTGTACTCAGACCAGTAATATTTGGGGTCACAAGTTTTTGCCATGGATATTTTGTGGGTCAGAAGATAAAAAGTTTGGGAACCACTGCTTTATTTAACTGTAAATAGTGTAATAGTGTAGGCTGTTTAGTTTTTATAAAATTTTGAAAATATATTGTCCACATTTTGGAGAATCTAAGTTTAGCCTGTTAGCGTTTACGCTAGCGCTGAGCTAATACACATATTTGGCGATGACATTAGCAATACATAAACAAAATCGTATTTATTAGTAGTATATTTGGGGTTAGTTCCCGAGCTAACAATATCGGCTCAGGTGCTAACACTATATTAGCTTGGCGTAGAGTGAAAACTAACAGGATAAACTAAGGTTCTTCTTCCATTAAGCAGTTCTTTTGTCCATCATAATTTTTAGTAAGAGGCTGAGTCATTTCTGCCTCTGTCAAGGCACTCTGGTGTCATTTAAAATGGCTGACCATCAGATATAGTCCAAAATTAACCATCAGGGTGACTAAAGCTAGCTCGCAGCCTTGCACCAGACAATCTAGTCTATGTCATCTTTTACCCAGCAGGCATTGCGGCATCTCTTTAACATGAACGGGTGTTCCTCATGATGTCAGCAAATGTATCAGGTAGACCTTTAGTATTTCGTTTCAAATGAATTATATTGTTAACTATTTGAATTTGACAACCTGGTTTCTAAAGATAAAATATAAAAGACAAAACCATTTAATTTGGTGTGAATGTGAGATTTAGAAAGCTGCAGGGGGGCATCACCTGAAATCCAGCCCAGGGGGCCACATTGTCTAGGACCGMCCCTGGTTACAAGAGTTAAAGATATACGTATTGATGAGTCTTGCTGAGACATCAGTCCTTCAGTTCTTCTGATCTGCCGCGCCCTTATCGACCTTGAGGGGTTAAAATCTACAATTTATCAGCTGAGAGCTTCTCATGACAGATGTATGTTTGTTTGTTTGTTTGTTTGTTTTGATCAACAAAACTTAAACAGGAAGAAGTTCAACTGAACCACAGTAAAAAATTGCTTGGTTATCTTTAACATATTTTCCAACACAAATGATGTGAATCGTTATTGATGAAAAACGACAGACTTAGACAGTAAACATGTCAACATGACAACATTTGCATAAATTTCTGCTGAACGTTTTTTAATGTATCGTAGAAATCCATTTTAGTCTTGGTTCTGCTCCGAGAAGCAATTAGTTTGACCATCAGTCAAAAATCTATCTTATTTTTCTCTAACTGAGAGGACTTTGGCCGTWATCTATAGCAAGTCAGATACTGACTGCTGATAATGACTTCACAGAACCTCAAGTCTAACAGTCCAAAGACTTGATCCCACAAGTTAAAAACTTGGTTTTCTTCATCTCAGTGATGCTGTTTTATTTATATTTTACTGTTCTTTTCCTCTCGTTTGTGTCACAGCAACATGGTTCCTCAGCACCCTCAGCCTAAAAGTGTTGCTTTGCATAAAACCTGCAGGTGAGAACAAATTGCTTCAGCTTCACCTTTAGCAACATCTCTGTCTTATAATCCGACCAAGACTAAAGCTAGAGGTCTGATTGTGTCAATGTGTCACAGCTGGGAAAGAAACAAGTGTTGTTCTCAAACCTGGATGAAGGAGGAGGGGAAACACCAAAAATCCAGGTAGAAATGTTGCTTCAAAATGTGATTTTTTAAATTAACATTCCCATCTTTATTTTACCTGTTTCTCTGTTTGTTTATCACAGTAATGAGAAACCTCAGCCTCCTAAAGTAAAGGCCTCTGCTTCATGTAAAGACTGCAGGTGAGAACAAACAAAGGTCTTGCTGGCACCATCAATGGTCCTCGCTGTGTGAAGACGATGCGTTCGTGTCTTGCAGGGAAAAAATCGACAAAGTCTTGGAGTTTTACTCTCGAGCCTGGAGGAAAGATGAGGGCCACAGCCGAGAGCTCCGGTAAACATGATTTAATTTTAAATGAATACAAACGCCAGTCAACAGATGCCACAGTGCCAGCAGGTGTGAGGAGATGGGAGGCAGGTGGGTTGATGGGAACAGAGAACAGGTGGAGGTGGGCGGGGCCAAACAGAGGAAACTGTCAGAGGAAAAAGACCTGGTACAAGCAAAACCCAAAATAAACATGATAAACAAAAATAAACCAAATAAATAACCAAGAAAATAACAAAAATATTAATTTAGGAAGAAATTCATCTTGTTTTACAGTGTTTTTTTATTAGCTGTGCTAAATGATCAGAGTTAACAGAGTTCTTGAGGTTCTCCAGGTCTTAGTTAACAGAGTTCTTGTGGTTCTTCAGGTCCCAGGTCTAACAAAGTTCTTGTGGTTCTCCAGGTCTTAGTTAACAGAGTTCTTGTGGTTCTTCAGGTCCCAGGTCTAACAGAGTTCTTGTGGTTCTCCAGGTCTCAGGTCTAACAGAGTTCTCGTGGTTCTCCAGGTCTCAGGTCTAACAGAGTTCTTGTGGTTCTCCAGGTCTCAGGTCTAACAGAGTTCTTGTGGTTCTCCAGGTCTCAGGTCTAACAGAGTTCTTGTGGTTCTCCAGGTCTCAGGTCTAACAGAGTTCTTGTGGTTCTCCAGGTCTCAGGTCTAACAGAGTTCTTGTGGTTCTCCAGGTCTCAGGTCTAACAGAGTTCTTGTGGTTCTCCAGGTCTCAGGTCTAACAGAGTTCTTGTGGTTCTCCAGGTCTCAGGTCTAACAGAGTTCTTGTGGTTCTCCAGGTCTCAGGTCTAACAGAGTTCTT